TGGTTTTTGGTTAGGGTTACTGGGGCTGGGACTGGGGCTGGGGTTTGGGCTTAATGTTAGTGAACTAATGTTGACTAGTAGCGGATCAAAATAGAATATTGGACATGTCACATTATGCGTAATCGACACAAACAGTATAATCAATTGATAACGCTAAAATTGCAAAAGCACTACGACATTATGACATTATGTATCGCAACAATGCAACAAGTATTCTTATTTTCAGGTATTAAAAGAACAGCAGAACTTATTTCGTCTGTTTATAACATACAACGGGATGGACGTCATTGAAGCTCGTGCATTGATACAGGCATCGTTGAATCATTTGTTGGACGCTGTCTGGAATTAACTGAAAGACTGAGGAAAACAATTCAGTATCATTCATTAACATTAACTTACGACTATCTTAGCGCTAAGAGAGCCTATAAAATCTAGGCCTTAACTTTTACCTTGACTTATGAAAGTGTGACGATGCGTGTGACGAGGAAAAAAACTGTGACTATCGTGAAAATATAATCTGCCAGTGAACAACTATTGGAAATATGTCCACTGTGATAATCACACAGTTCAGCTGACGGGCCAAGCATAGGATACAAATGAGGAAACAAAATCATAGTCATGTGTGCTCACATGAATCACACGCTTCATGTTTTTGACCAATGCATCGATAAGGCAAAAGAAGGACGAAAGGGTTGTTTTAAAGTTTTTAATAAAGGGTTTTCTGACATGTGAAACATGACGAGTTGTTGATGGAGACAAAACATATGATGACATTAATTTATACAATATCTTTTGTCAGACATTATCTCAAATGTTCTCGACAATTATATCACTTTGAACAATCGGTATCCGCTGTCATTTTGCTATGCATTGCAAGATGTTAGACGTCTGAAATGTGTTGGTTTAAGAAGGGGCAATAAAGTTGTAGTAGTAGTTTCATGTTGAAATAACTGTACTCTGATTCGTGCATTATGAAACGTGTGTGTGCATGAACGGGATAGTACTCCCCTGGTCTGGGTGTACTACATGTAATGATTGTAACATCAGTATGTACTATGTAGGAAAGTTGTGGGTCGTGAATTGTATAAATGCCTACACCAAGTACTAAGACACGTGTTCGATGCGAGAATGTGTATGTCAGTAACGGTGTCGAGCAGCACTATTTGTTGTTTTTTTGGTACCTATTGGATAATCTACTAATCACAGACGTGAAATATAACATAGTACATATTTAGGATTATATACTGAACATCATTTAAAACGCACAAGTCTAAAATTAGCCATATTTTCATCAAGATGGATTTCAGCACTACAATGATCAATGAATATAAAGAACGAAATGGAGATTCTACTGGAATTATGCTTCTACGTCTATTAAAACAACGTTAAACAGAGGCCACTTGTTCACATCAGATCACATGAAAATATGAAGGTATCAGAAGATCAAACAATCAAAATCATTAGTTTTCATCCACCATGAGGCAAAACAAACATACAAATTGAAATATCAGAAATCCATATTAACCAGCCAGGGATGTTCTGGTATTTAAAATACTTGCCGAGAAAGGTAGAAAATATGAAACTTCGTTCCATCAGTTGAACAAAAGTCATCAAACCAGTCTTTCAACAAACAGCTGTTTAACCCTACCTCCGTGCCTAAGATAACCTGGTAAGGCAATCCAAATACTTTCCTCAAGTGAATATTGCAAACAGGTCAGAAACAACAACCAGCAGATTATCCTTGATTCTAGCAGGATGTCCAGCTTCACACAAGCAGCATACTTCAGTTCACACCAGCAGGAGGTTACCCTTAAATTTAGCAGGATGGTTCAGTTCACATAGGCAGCAAGTTTCTCTTCACAGCAGCAGGAGGTATCCACACCAGCAGGGACCTGACAATCATGTGATAAAGGAATACTTAACAGAAAGTTTGCTAAGTCGAGAAGTAGGGGACTTGAGGACAAGGCTCCTTTACTATGAGTGGAAATTATGCAAACAGTCCATTTCACCTACCAGGACAAACTAACCATTTGACACTACTGGCCTTTAGCAGGAGGATGTTCTCAGCAGCAGGAGGAGGTACCCCTTCGCACCAACAGCAGATCTCTCATCACAGCATGAGGTTTCACTTGACACAAGCATTGGGTTCCCTTTTACACCATCAAGTGTGTTCTCGCCAGCATGGTCCTGGCAAACAAGTGATACAATGATAACGTTTTTAGCATTTTCTAGTACTTTGGGAATGAGTTCCATCAGGGATTAGAGCCCACATTCGCAGAGTGAGGCACCAACTTGCTCGTACACAAAATGCTTATGACTTGCGGACCATTAACTAATTGAGCTGCTGGTTAGCAAACATGGTATGTTTGTGCATGCGATTAGAAAATAATGCAAGAAAAGGGTTCCCTTGAATAATGTCAATGATTCGGAATACTTCGAGATAGATGTCAACACGAATTAATTTTGTTTACAACATGGCTGGGATAGTTATGATATTTAAATGTCACAACCTATACACATCATGCAAAATGCAACAATGAAAAATAGGGAGTTATTTCCCTTTGACCATAAACAAAAGATTCTGTCATGGACCCATAACTGGCACCAATGTCTGTATAAGCCTGAACAAGTGGTGACTATAGAAAGAGAATGTAGACTTACACTTCACTCTATATCTGTACTTCCGAAGATTCTCTTCACTGCAACTGAAGACGAAGCACACAGAAGGAAAACACCTCTCAGCACTCTTGGGATTCTCTCAACACCTGGAGGCACAATTTACAGACACATAACAGATTCTTCTCACACCTTCAGAACATTAAACGAACACACGGGATACCCCTTCAAAGTGTCATGTATGAATTGAACAAACAAAAAGGATCATCAACCAAATGAGAAAACGAAATGGAGATTCTACTGGAATTCTACTTCTACGTCTATCAAAACAACGTTAAACAGAGGCCACTTGTTCACACCAGATCACATGAGAATATGAAGGTATCAGAAGATCAAACAATCAAAATCATTAGTTTTCATCCACCATGAGGCAAAACAAACATACAAATTGAAATATCAGAAATCCATATTAACCAGCCAGGGATGTTCTGGTATTTAAAATACTTGCCGAGAAAGGCAGAAAACAAACTTCGTTCCATCAGTTGAACAAAAGTCATCAAACCAGTCTTTCAACAAACAGCTGTTTAACCCTACCTCCGTGCCTAAGATAACCTGGTAAGGCAATCCAAATACTTTCCTCAAGTGAATATTGCAAACAGGTCAGAAACAACAACCAGCAGATTATCCTTGATTCTAGCAGGATGTCCAGCTTCACACAAGCAGCATACTTCAGTTCACACCAGGAGGAGGTTACCCTTAAATTTAGCAGGATGGTTCAGTTCACATAGGCAGCAAGTTTCCCTTCACAGCAGCAGGAGGTATCCACACCAGCAGGGACCTGACAATCATGTGATAAAGGAATACTTAACAGAAAGTTTGCTAAGTCGAGAAGTAGGGGACTTGAGGATAAGGCTCCTTTACTATGAGTGGAAATTATGCAACCTGTCCATTCCACCTACCAGGACAAACTAACCATTTGACACTACTGGCCTTTAGCAGGAGGATGTTCTCAGCAGCAGGAGGAGGTACCCCTTCGCACCAACAGCAGATCTCTCATCACAGCATGAGGTTTCACTTGACACAAGCATGGGGTTTCCCTTTTACACCATCAAGTGTGTTCTCGCCAGCATGGTCCTGGCAAACAAGTGATACAATGATAATGTTTTTAGCATTTTCTAGTACTTTGGGAATGAGTTCCATCAGGGATTAGAGCCCATATTCGTAGAGTGAGGCACCAACTTGCTCGTACACAAAATGCTAATGACTTGCTGACCATTAACTAATTGAGCTGCTGGTTAGCAAACATGGTATGTTTGTGCATGCGATTAGAAAATAATGCAAGAAAAGGGTTCCCTTGAATAATGTCAATGATTCGGAATACTTCGAGTTAGATGTCAACACGAATTACTTTTGTTTGCAACATGGCTGGGATAGTTATGATATTTAAATCTCACAACCTATACTCACATCATGCAAAATGCAACAATGAAAAATGTGGAGTTATTTCCCTTTGACCATAAGCAAAAGATTCTGTCATGTACCCATAACTGGAACCAATGTCTGTATAAGCCTGAACAAGTGGTGACTATAGAAAGAGAATGTAGACTTACACTTCACTATATATCTGTACTTCCGAAGATTCTCTTCACTGCAACTGAAGACGAGGCACACAGAAGGAAAACACCTCTCAGCACTCTTGGGATTCTCTCAGCACCTGGAGGCACAATTTGCAGACACATAACAGATTCTTCTCACACCTTCAGAACATTAAACGAACATACTGGATACCCCTTCAAAGTGTCATGTATGGATTGAACAAACAAAAAGGATAATCAACCAATTCAAAGAACCAAATGGAGATTCTATTGGAATTATGCTTCTACGTCTATTGAAACAACGTTAAACAGAGGCCACTAGTTCACACCAGATCACATGAGAATATGAAGGTATCAGAAGATCAAACAATCAAAATCATGAGTTTACATTCACCATGAGGCAAAACAAACATACAAATTGAAATATCAGAAATCCATATTAACCAGCCAAGGATGTTTGGGTATTTTAAATATTTGTCGAGAACGGTAGAAAACAAACTTCGTTCCATCAGTTGAACAAATCTCATCAAACCAGTCTTTCAACAAACAGGGGTCCGTTGATCAAAGGAACCTTTGCTAAGGTCAACCTTAAAGACTAAGGTTAGAGTTACGATCACCTTAAGAAAAAGTTACGCCTGTTGCACTATACAATCTTTGGGCAACCTTAAGTCGGACTCGAACCTTAGCAGTAACCTTAACTAAGGGTGAACTCTTCGGCGCTGGAGTTACGGAACCGTCCCTAGTTACCACGTGAATTATCTCCCCTGCTCGCACCTGCAGACGACAACAATGTCAATGTCCCAGCGGAAGCACAATCGGCATTCAAACTTTTCTCCTTCCGAGATAAGTTTGCTAGCTGAAGAGGTGAAGGCGCGACAGAGTGTTTTGTTCGGCCCGTTTTCATCAACAGTAACCAACACGGCCAAAATACGGGAATGGGATGAAATCGCAACCAAGTAAGTGTTACTTCCGGGTTGTATCACAAAACGTTTTCAACATCGATTGAAAGTGAATATTTATAAAATGTGTAGTGACTAGTCTGGAACATGAGCGACAACAAACCTATAGAACCCTTATAGTATCAGGGTTTATATACTTGAAAAACCATCAAAATCCATGACTTTTCCGTGATTTCTGCAGGATGTTTCGCAACTTTTCCATCACAAGACAAACAGCGACCAAGTGCATTTATAAATTGTTAAACGTGAAATTGAAGGCCATAAGACTCTGAGTGGACACATATTGTATGACCCAAATGACATGAAAAAAATAATAGCACATTTTACTTATTAGAAAAATCACAGCAAACTTGTGCCCACCATGTGTCAAGTTTTTATATTCCAAAACTTGTCCAGGTTTCCATGGCCTGTACGAACCCTGTATAATATAAGTGAATATCAATCATATAAACAAAGAGATTTACATTTATTGATTTTTTTACTTATTTTAAGACTAAACGCCTGTTCGTCCGTCCAGAGATCTGGAGCCCAGATACGGAAGAAATGGAACGATTACAAGTGAGTAATTACCTGATTTTCTTTATATCGATAGCCAATTCAAATATGTGTTTAATATATGTGTGTTTTACTGGCTAAAGTAATTATCAGCAATTTAAACCATACTCGAAATATACAGACACATCAAGATTTCAATATAATCATGTGATATTAATTTGATTTTTTTTTATCCTATTACTGTACAGTTGGAGTCAGAATTATTCAACCCTCATGGCCAAAACATGCAATCACATTTATTGCAGAGACAGTACTTATTGTCTGTGATGATATAGTGACACAAGTATGGTTTCAGTATTTTTAACAAACAAACACAAAGGAAAAGTGTAAATTAATTCAATGTCATGCTTTCATTGATTTTAACAGTTTCAAAATTATTCTGACTTTGAAATAGGGGGTTGAAGAATTTTGATTTCAACTGTAGGTGGCAAATAATCCTGATCATCACCAACAATGATAAATGACAAAACACTCATTTTGTTGTTTCCCAAATGATTGAAATATATATTTTAACAATAAATCAGTATGAGATTTAACACATAGAGTATTGTTGTTACACACAGTAACACATTACCAGATATATTCCCATGTATACAATTAGCACCTCTTTTATAATTCTTTTTGAAAATAAAGTTTTCATTAATGTTCAGAAATATTTACATAATGAGGTATAACCTTAATAAAAATGTTGCAAGCTATCACAGCAATAAAAGGTGTGTAAATTACATGAAAATTGATATAAATGCGATTTACTAGAACACTTGAAAACAAATTGATAACTAATTTTATGCTGTATTTGCATCATAGTATAAATGGTGGCATTTTCTAGATCCCAGGTGAAGAAGAAAGCCATTGATGTGCGGCGTGAGTGCTGCAAGACAGGCGGGTGTCCAGCACCAGTTGGTCTGTCTGACCTGGAGCACAAGGTTGGATTTGTGATCGATTATTAAAATGGTTATTAAAAAGGTGATGAAATTTATCTCATTTTGGTCTTACATAGTTAAAGTTAGTAAATCCTTATCTCATCCCATTCCAGAGTCTCAAACATTTCCAGCATATCAAAAACATTTACGTAATATTTGTGTGTTTTCATGTTTGTAGGTTGTGTCAATGATTCCTCAGTGCCAGATTGAAGGAATAACTGGTGGATTAGAGAGTGAAGTGGAGGAAAGTATGTGATAAATAATACACTACTATTATACCATACATATATCTATGAATATGTATGTCAAATTCATATCAACATTTCAACATCAATTGCAAAAGAATCACACTCAATAACAAATCAATTTTGTTTTGAAACTAAATATTTACAGGAATTCACTATTTTAATTATTAGGTTGCACATTGCAGTATAATGAGGGTAATGTTGTTTTTTAAGGGTAATGTCATTTGCAGGTTTATGATGTCTTCCATTCACAGTTCGACAAAGGAAAATAGTTTGTGTGATGTAAATGATACATTAATTTACTTTTAAAACTTTTTTGCAGTTTGCGTCACCTTGGAAACCAAAGATGCACCAGTATGCACGGTTGTGGAAATAGATGAAGCATTTGGTAAATATGTGTATTTGTATGTCTGTGTGTCTGTCTGTCTGTCTGTCTGTATGTATTAAAGCAATATTTATCAATTGAATCAAATTCATATTTGAAAAGAAAATATCTTCAATTGATCAATGCTTTAGAAGTAATACTGTATCATGGCAACATTCAGAATTGCACAACCTAGCCGGGTTTGGCATATCATGGTATACATAATGTGAACCTTACACCTACTTCACAAAAAACTTCTTTTTAAATTTAAAACATATTTATGTATTTTCAGAATCAGGACTGACATTGACCAGCCTCCCTGTGGTATCAAGTGCGTTTGTACCATCAACATCAGTACAGCAGCCATTAATTGCTACATCAGAGCTTGACTTAGTACCCTCCACATCACAGCCATCAACAGAGCAGGCAGCCGAACAACCTGATAGTGAAAGGCCCCAAACAACTGTAAATGGCAAAATAAGATAAAGCAGTTTGGAATAAACAGAATGTATTCAGAAACATGTCAAACATAGTGCATTGTAATTTCAAGTATATGTTAGTATAATTTTATGGCAAAACAAACACTATAAATGTGTACTCATATTAAATGTATTGGTTATAATTTATCTCTATAAAAAACTAAATATTAATGATATTTTTTGCAGCAACTGAAATCCATTCAAGGACTAAAGTTACACAAAAGTCAAGAAAATCTGGTAGGTAGGACATTTTCAAGTAAGAAAAGTTACTAGATTTAGATTAGGGCTGGGACGGGTGGGTACTGAGTAGGACCAAGGTGAAGAATGTATTGTTTTACCACAACAACGTGCCCAGGTAGTAAATTTAGACCCCTCCAAGCCTTAATTCAGAGTGTAGTATAAATAGCAAACAAGATTTTTTAACATAACAGTTTAATTCCATACAACAATAAAACAAATCGCAATTATGAAATTATTACCTTTTCTACAGAAAGGGAAGCTCAGCCAGGCGTGACTGCCATCCTTGTAGGGAAAAGGAAAGGACTGGAATACTGAAGGTCCTCCTTGACGTACAAAGAAAAATCCGAGCTGTCTCGGAACAGCGACTTCAGGTGGAGACTGACAGGCTGGCCCTGGAAAGAGAGAAATTTGAATTTAAAAAAAGTGTAATTAACCTACCAGAATACAAAACTGTTTCTTCCGTAATACAGTTTCTGCATGAATTGTAATCAAATTCATTATCTAATTATGAGATAATCTTTTTTGGAGCTTGTTTGAATGAAATTTGTTGATAATCTTGTATGTAGCTTTTGTAATGTTGAAAATGAATCTCTATGCCATGTATATTGGGAGTGTAATGCAACCCAAAGTTTTTGGAAAGAAATCGAAAGTTATATTATCAAAAATATACAGACTTTTAAAATAACAAAATCTGCAGTATGGTTTGACATTTTAGGCAATAACAATTACTAAACCACATAATGTTTTCTGCAATTATTTTAATTTATACTTTCACCTTATCAACTAATCAATTCCTACAAGTTTTGAAAGATATATCTGCTGTTGAAAGATTCATAGCAAGAAGAAATAACAGCTTTGATAACTTTATAAATAAATGGTGGCCTTTCATCCAAATATTCAATCTTTGACAAACTTAAACAAATGATATTGATGAGTTTTTAACTCACACCTGCTGTACATGTATTACCTTTTTCACTAGCTTATCTGAATTATGCATGGGAACAAAAAAACAAACAAACTATTTTATGCTTTTTATGCTTCATAACTTCTTGTTGTTCACTTTGTTTCAAACTTGTATCAAGATAATTTTTTACCGTTATTAAATTTAATGTTATGTGATATACAATGGAGTTGCTTTTACTTACATTTCATGAAAATCTTTCGTTGACAAGGTTCTGCCTAGCGGTGTTGCCATCTACACACTGCCTGGGAGCGGGTGGGGTGTTGGTCTCCGCCTCTGCCTCTTCCAGTACATCTCCCGGTGGTACCTGCACTCCCTTGGTGATGAAGTAATTATGGAGCTTAAGGCATGGAATAATAATTACCACAGAGCACCTGTCTGGGCTGAACCACAGACATCCAGAGGACTTGTGCAAACACCTGGAATATTTTCATACAAATCAAATCTTACAACAATATTCTGGCAACAGGGGTTTAAAATAATCCTGATCATAATTTAGTTTGCAAGTACTGATTTAAATTCTGATTACATTATATTCAGGTTAAACTCACCTAAACCTTGCCTTTAAAACAGCAAACGCACGCTCAATGGTGTTTCTTGTTCTAGTGTGGGCGGAGTTGAACCACTCTTGGGGGCGTGTCTGCGGCTCAGTAAAGGGTGTTAGAAGCCATGGTCGACATTCATATCTGAAAAATTCATTACTTGATTGTTATACCAATATATCAACATATCAATGATGTCATGATTGATAGTTACAAAAAATCATTGTGTACTCTCTGTATGTATATGACAATTAAAGTGACACTTCCAAATTCCTAGACACTTTATTTTTTGTTTTGAGACATACCAATTACCACATGTGTTGAATTATATTCAAAACACCTCTTCCAGCTTGCATATATATATGTATATATGCAAGCTGGAAGAGGAGTTCTTGATTTAAATCAACACATATATATATATACATACCCAATTACCAAATATATGAAATTATTGATACATTCGAAAACCGACTCATATACATGTGCGGAAGTGAAAATGAAATGTCCACTTTTCAATCATAGATCCTTACTTATACTTATATCATGTCATTATGTTGGACCAGCTATAGCGAGCATTAAAATGATATTAGTCAGTAATATATGACCCCCCAACAAATGTAAGCTAGAGTGTCACAATAAGGGGGTTAAAACCTCCACAACCTACCCAGAATCACCAAGGAGCCACCCATCCGGTGTCTGCTGTACCATCTTAGTGGCAATGCTGCAGCTGCTCCAAATAAGCGAGTCGTGGGTCGACCCCGCCCACTTGACTACTACATTTGTGAAGCTGTAGACAAGAAAACAAGGGATTATAAATACTCATTTAAATGGATTTAAAATATTATAGTCTTCCAGTATCAGAACTCAAGATGCTGGTTTTACTTACATCTTGATCTCGTATGTTCATTTACATGTCTAGGTGTCTCGGCAGGTGCTAGTGACACTTCGCTATTTAGGTGTGTGGAACGGTCGACGGGGTGGCTGGAGAGGTATGTACTACGACAATGTGGGTATGTGGATCACTCTCTTCCAGTCACGGCAACACAACAGTTTTAACTAGTAAATGATTTCACAAGTCATTAAAATTTACCAACAGCAAAATTTATTATATACAATAGCAAACTTCTAACAGTAAAGACAATATGCAATCACGCCGCCCAAAGCGTTACTCTACAAGTTATAAGATACAGTACAATTATATATAGTTACAACGGTAGAAAGATTTTACATCTACTTCTTTGAGTAGAGTGCCTCCGGCAAGCCGGGTGTAAACTTACAGGTTATTCATGGTTTTCTTCCCTGCGATGGAGATGCAACCATCCAACTCTCAGTGATTCGTCTCTCTTTTTCAACGGTTAATCGAAGAATTCCTCGTCTCCGTTATTTCTATTGTGACGTAAAATCCTAGATACGAAACCTTCTAAAACACCTCGCTATGACGTCACAACATGGCGGCGCCCATGTCGAGACGTAGCTTACCTGAGGCAGCACAAGTCAACACCAAAGTCGCTACATACATTACGCCACATCAGGTAGACTGATGGAACGAGGTGAGGAGAAGGCTTGGATCTGTTTTACATACTAATTCCAAAGGTATGAGCTCTCGTAATCTTAAGATCACGGTAAACTATATGTTGCAGTGCACTGGCACGGAACAACACTACATGGACAGTGTAACTGATACCGCGGGAATTAGTATACCCAAAATACGTCATAAGTAGTAAAGATATCTATATAGGGTAAATGTTATCGATTACCCTGTACATTACAATATCCCCTCTTTTATTTTTAAATCGTCTCGATTTACTGACATAAGAGGATATACATATATACAAAGGTATGGTAATTATGATATATACAGTACATTCATACAGATAATAATACTGGCATAATGTGGAATTCATATAGCATACAATCAAGAAAACTTACCTACTTACCATTCCCAAAAATTATACACAATCATCACATATATAATATATCTTCCACAGTTCCAGACTAAATACAGTGCAAAATAGTAAGATCCACCCAGTTCAGCAGAGATCCACAGATAGTTCCAGAGAGAGATCCACATATAGTTCCAGAGATATCCAGAGATAGTTCCAGAGAGCTCCACAGATAGTTCCAGAGAGCTCCACAGATAGTTCCAGAGAGATCCAGAGATAGTTCTAGAGTTGCGAAGTATAACGGCAGCTTACTTAGTCATTATTCGGATGTAGGCATCAGCTTGTCTGCGCAAAGTTAACTGCTCGTTGAACCGTCCGTCCTCTGCCTCGTGAAGGACAGCCATAGCTTCTCTGCCAGACCGGATAAAATCATCCAGTGTCGGTCTGGTCAGAGGAATGTCGAAGGTGGTAGGCCAGCTCGGAACTGACCTGGCTATCTGTCTCTCCAACTGAGAAACCTGACATTTCAGGGCCTGTATCTCAAGCTGGGCCCGATCATAGACCAGTTCCCACTGGTTAGGAATAACCTCACCAACGGAAACTGGTCTACTCTCTTTCTCAGTCGGCTCAGGAGCGGACTGGACATCTACTGGTTCTGCTGGTAACTCCTTCTGTGATGATTGGGAAGGTGCCGGTGTAAATTTGGCTGCCTTCTTTGACTTCCGAGCCGGGAAGGTCCATTTCCCTGGGTCCATGAACCACAGTTGTCCTAGCCTTCCTGCAAGCCTGTATCATGTTCTTTGGGTTGGCCCGCTTGCTGGTGTGATGCCTCATATAGTGCCAGGTCAAGTCCCGGAACATATGGTAGGTCGCTCGGCAATCCAGGACAGGACAATGGAAGATGGTCAACTGGGGCCTATGTCTCATTGTCCAATGGCGCTGAAATGCCGGAAAGTGTGTGAATATGCTTCTCTCCGAACATGCCGGGCAATCCATTCCAGACTGGATATGTATGTCCTGCTCTGCTTCTGCCGGAAGGTCCATATCGATGTTTGTGTTCTCATCCAGGATGAGCACCTCCTCCCCTGGGGAGGGTGAGGTGACAGATTTTTCGGTCATGAAGATTAGAATTTACATATTACATAGTAGGTAGGATGATATAATATAAACAAAAATGTTTGTTATGAACGGGGCAACAAGAGGGAGAGATCCATTCCCCATGTTATTCCAACAACAACATGTCTTTTAGGCTCTTAGGGTACTAATGGTTGATCCACCATCTACACTTTAGTCTCGCTATTAAGCCTATGAACCAGTCATTCTATTTCCTCAATCACCTAATTTCTATCAGACAGCGTCCAACACGCCTAAATTTTAAATCTTGATAGATATCTAGATAACTGAATATACAGAATTCATTCGTGACGTCAGCAATTCATATCTTCTCTTAAATTACACCCCACTATCATCAAATGGGTATAATATTTTTATCTCTGAGTGTTTCAGGACAATGGACCATAGAGGCAGTGAACTGCCTGAAGCATTCTGCTTGGAATGGAACCAGTTTGGTTGGTCCTTCCCTAGGTATGGCAGTAGACGGTCTACATGAACCACCCGGGGAGGATTGTTGATGTCGTTTTGAATGCGGTAGGTGATGTCATCAATCACCTTGGTGACAACCCAACCTTTCGACCATTTTGGAGTCAGTTTATAACTTAACTTGGTACTTCTGTGGGGGTTATACAACCACACAGGTTGACCAACTTTAAGTCGTGACTCTCTTGTTCCAACATCATAACGCTTCTTTCGCACCTCTGAAGAATGCTTAAGTGCTTTCCGTGCTGATTCGAAAGCTTTTTCCAACTGCTGCTTGACCTCATCTACATACTCATCCCTGGTGAGCTACTGGTCGTTAGGATCCCCAGTAACCAGGTGGAAGGGCATGCACACTTGCTTACCTAACATGAGTTTGTTTGGGGTTTGACCAGTTGACTCATGCTTTGAGCTTCTGTATACCGCCATCGCAAAGGGGAGATGTTTGTCCCAATATCGTGGTTTCTCGTCTGTGTAAATGCTCAACATGGCAGCTAGGGTACGATTGAAACGCTCGACCTGGCCATTTGCCTGAGGTCGGAGAGAAGTGGTTCTTGTTTTCGCCACTCCTAACAATTTGCATAGTTCCTGGAACAAATTGGCTTCATACTGCCTACCCTGATCACTATGTATGAATTTAGGGGTACCATAACAACACACCCACTCCTCAACAATTTTCTTGGCCACTGTCTTTGCCTCAATATTTGGGATGGCAAAGGCTTCTGTCCACTTAGTGAACGAGTCAGTAACAACAAGTATATACTTGTTGCCAGCTGATGTGCGGTCCATTGGACCCATGATGTCAGTGGTTAGTCTCTCCATTGGGGAGCCGGTGGTATACTCCTTCATAGGAGCTTTTTGTTTCCTTGGACTCTTCCTGGCGACACACTTGTCACACAGAAGGCAGTGATCTCGGACAGCCATCTTCAACCCTACCCAGTAGTAAGACTGCTCAGCTTTGGCGAATGTCTTCAGGATGCCAAGATGCCCTCCTAAATGTGAGTTATGACAACCTTCAAGGATTGCTCTACATCTGATGGATGGTATAACTATTTGCCATCGCCACTCCTTTCCATCGTTGCGCTCTCCCATCTCCTATGCAACACGGGCGGTGGGGTAGCCTAGTGGTTAAAGCGTTGGTTCGTCACGCCGAAGGCCCGGGCTCGATTCCCCACATGGGCACAATGTGTTAAGCCCATTTCTGGTGTCCCCCGCCGTGATATTGCTGGAAAATTGCTAAAAGCGGCGTAAAACTAAACTCAGTCAGTCAGTCCTATGCAACACACCTTGCCTAACTGACAAACGGTGGAACTGACCCCATAGGGCTTTGCATGCTTCAGACAGTGCAGAAACTGCCTCCCACTCGGGGCGCTTGTTTTGTTGTCTAGTTTTCACAATTGGGCTGATATCTGGGTCTTGGAGGTGCAACTCTCTCATCTCTTCACAACTGAAACCCATATCCTTTTGTTTTGCAGATTGGGATCTGGTGATAGCAGAACAGAAAGCCTTGATGTCAGGAACCTCTACACTGCATGGTCCGTCCACTCTCCTGCATTGTGGGCATTGCTCACAGGGACGACGGCTCAAGGCATCAGCATTCCAATGTTTCCAGCCAGGTCGGTGAACCTCGGTCTAATCATAATTACCAAATTCTTGAAGCCAACGAGCCATTCGGTTCACTGGTGGCTTTATTCGCTTGGCCCAGACTACCACAGAGTTGTCTGTTCTCACAGTTAGTGGCCTGCCAAAGACATAGGGATGCCAGTACCGACATGCTGTAACCACAGCTAGGAGCTCCCGGCGTGTAACACAGTAGTTTTTCTCTGCCGGGGTGAGACACTTGCTGTAGTAACCTAAAATCACTTCCCTGCCATTCTGATCTTGGGACAGGACTGCTCCAATTCCCTCACCGGAAGCATCAGTGTCCAAGGTCATGGCGCCTTCCTGGGCAGGAAAACCAAGTATGGGTGCTGAGGTGAGAGCATCTTTCAGATTCATGAATGCTCGGTCAGTACACTCAGTCCACTCAAAATCAACTGAGGGACTGGTAAGCAAGGTAACGGGTCTTGCAATTCTGGAGAAGTCTTTGATAAATCTCCGATAATAGTTTGCAAGCCCCAGGAATTGTAAAATCTCTTTGCGAGATTTAGGAGTAGGCCACGATCTAACAGAGGTAATTTTCTCTGGCTGGGTGTGAACCCCATCAGTGGAAATGACATGGCCCAGAAAGTTGACTTTCTCTCTGAAGAGATGACACTTTTTAGGCTTTAACTTTAAACCTGCTACAGTCAGCCTGTCCCAAACAGATTTTAGACGTAAAAGTGCCTCATCAAAGGAATCTGCAAAGACAATTATATCGTCAAGAAAACAGAGACATTCACTCCACTGTAAGCCTCTCAGGACTGTTTCCATTAGTCTCTCAAAAACACTCCGAGCATTACAAAGTCCGAATGGGAGGAATCAAATGTTCTC